AGGGGGCAGTCAGGGGACAAGAAGCAGGGAGGCTTAGATAGGGGGTGGGGCCCGTAGGGGGCAGTTAGTGGCAGGGGTCCCAGGAGGGGGCAGTCAGGGGACAAGAAGCAGGGAGGCTTAGATAGGGGGTGGGGCCCGTAGGGGGCAGTTAGTGGCAGGGGTCCCAGGAGGGGGCAGTCAGGGGACAAGGAGCAGGGGGGGTTGGGGTTTTTGAGGGGGGCAGTCAGGGGGTGGAAAGTGGGAGGGAGTGGATGGGGGCAGGGCAGGGGCGGGGCTAGAGCAGGGCCCCGATGTCCTCTTTTTTGATTGTGGAAATATGGTAACCCTAGTCCAGCACTGGTAGTGCTCACCTGTGCTGCAAACATGCCAACAAGACAATACACAGATCAACAGTGTGCAGACAGACAGCAATAGATAAGGGGAAGGGGAAGTATGCAGGATGTTATCTCACCTCAAGTACATCACAGGCTTTTCATCGGAAAATTCTGGCATGCTAAATGAGGAGAAGTAACTTAACTCAATGTGGTTTTACATTTTGAAATCCTTTGAAACATGCAAGGCCTACTAGACAACTACTGTACAATGGTAAGACAAGTGATCTAAGATAACTTATCTCTAACTATTCCTGAAAGCTAGCAACTAACATGTCATACATTCCCGTGGTCACAAGCTTCATGACCTTTTATAAGATCTCCTGGGAAACTGCACCATATTTCATAGGGTACAAGGCATATGTGATGGGCCGTCTTGTATGCTGCAATGTACAGTTGTTCCACAGTTATTGAGTAGGATCTGGCATGATTTACAGCAAAAATCTTACAAAAACATATTGTGCCGTTATCTGAAAGGAAATTATCTAAAAAAAAATTGTTGTAAATGTTGCAAATTCTCTTGGTAACTATAAAATTAATCTCCTAAATGGTTTTCCTTTTCATGAATGTGTGTGTTGAGCCTTTTGTTTCACAGTGGTCTAAGATATAATTCCATTTTTCAAAGTCTGCCAAGCATGCTTCTGCACTAACAGATTTTCTTTTCTTTTTTAATTTGGTTGAGAACAGATTGTCTATCGTGCTCCTACTTGTTGGCTGTCACTTTCACCAGTTACCTAGAGACTTGTGAAATGCTGACCAGCCTTACACGTACATTAAGTTTTCAGAGTGCATCATTCTTGGTAAAGTACTGGAATCAATAT